TTTGGGAGGTGGAGGCGGGCAGATCATCAGAGGTCAGGAGTTTGAAATCAGCCTGGCAAAGAGGGTGAAACCCCGTCTCCACTAAATATGCAAAATTAGCTGGGTGTGGTGGCACACACCTGTAATCCCAGCTACTCTGGAAGCTGAGTCAGGAGAATTGCTTGAACCTGGGAGGAGCAGGTTGCAGTGAGCCGGGGATTGTGCCACTGCACTCCAGCCTGGGTGACAGAGCAAGACTCCGTCTCCAAAAAAAAAAAAAAAAAAGCATGGCATATCCAAGAGAATGGAATGTTACCCTCCAATAAAAGAAATGAGCTCTCCTGCCATGAGAAGACATGGAGGCAACGCTAATGCATAATTTATGAAGTGAAATCAATCACTCTGAAAAAGCCATGTATTGTATGATGATGTCAACTACATGCCATGCTGGAAAAGGCATGGAGACCGAGATCAGCGGCTGGCCAGGCACGGTGGCTCACGTCTGTAATCCCAGCATTTTGGGAGGCCAAGGCAGGCAGATTGCTTGAGGCCAGGAGTTTGAGACCTGGCCCGGGCAACATGACAAAACCCCATCTCTACAAAAAGTACAAAAATGAGCCAGGGGTGGTGGCTCTCACCTGTAGCCCCAGCTACTCAGGAGGCTGAGGTGGGAGGATCACTTGAGCCCAGGAGGTCGAGGCTACAGTGAACTGTGATTGCACCACTGCACTTCAGCCTGAGCATCAGAGCAAAACCCTGTCTCAAAAAAAAAAAGAAAAAAGAAAAAGCTCAGTGGTTGCCAGGAGCTCAAGGCCTTGGGGAGAAGGTGGAGCATGGAGGATTTTTAGGGCAATAAAATTCCTCTGTATGATACTATAATGGTAAACACAGGTCATACATTTGTCAAAACCCATGGAATCTATAACCCCAAGAGTGACCCAAGTGGACTTTGTTTTTTGTTGGGTTGTGTTTTGTTTTGTTTGTGAAACGAAGTCACTGTCATCCAGGCTGGAGCGAAGTGGTACGATCTGATCTCAGCTCACCACAACCTCCGCCTCTCAGGTTCAAGCAATTCTCCTGCCTCAGCCTCCCAAGTAGCTGGGATTACAGGCGTGTGCCACCATGCCCAGCTAATTTTTGTATTTTTAGTAGAGATGGGGTTTTACCACGTTGGCCAGGCTGGTCTCGAACTCCTGACCTCAGGTGATCTGCCTGCCTCGGCCTCCCAAAGTGCTGGGATTACAGGCATGAGCTACCACCCCACAGTGGACTTTGGATGATAATGATGTATCAATGTCAATTCACCAGTTGTAACAACGAACTGCTCTAGTGCAGGATGCCAGTAGTTGGGGACGTTGCGGGTACGTGGGGACAGCAGGTGTATGAGAAGTCTCTATATCATTTTTGTGTCAATTTTGCTGTGAACCTAAAGCTGCTCTAAAAATAAAGCTGGCCAGGTCCTATGGCTGGCACTGCCATACAGCACTTTGTGGGGCCAAGGAGGGAGGAGTGCCTGAGGCCAGGAGTTCAAGACTAGCCTGAGCAGCATAGCAAGACCACGTCTCTGCAGGGGGGAAAAAAATTGCCAGGCCTGGTGGCTCATGCATATAGACCCAGCTACTCAGGAGGCTAAGGCGGGAGAATCGCTTGAGCTCAAGAGTTCGAGGCTGCAGTGAGCCATGACCACGCCACTGCACTCCCACCTGGGCAACAGAGCAAGACTCTGTCTCAAAAAAATAAAATTAAAATAAAGCTTATGAATGTTTTAAAAAAGAAAGAAAAGAAGCCGGGTGTGGTGGCTCAGCCCGTAATCCCAGCACTTTGGGAGGCTGAGGTGGGCGGATCACGAGGTTAAGAGATTGAGACCACTCTGGCCAACTTGGTAAAACCCCTTCTCCACTGAAAATACAAAAAAATTAGCCAGGTATGGTGCCACATGCCTGTAGTCCTAGCTACTTGGGAGGCTGAGGCAAGAGAGTCGCTTGAACCTGGGGGGCGGAGGTCGCAGGGAGCCAAGATTGCACCACTGTACTCCAGCCTGGGTGACAGAGCAAGACTCCATCTCAAAAAAAAAAAAAAAGAAAGAAAGAAAGGAAACATACGAATTGTAGGTGTGTCCTTCCTTGAACAATCTCAGGTTTCTAATCTAATAACAAAAAATTTCTCTCATTAGTTTTGGAAAAGTACACCCACAGGATCCCTTCCGGCTCTGAGTAAATTCAAAAGTTGATCCAAGCTAGGCGTGGTGGCTCACGCCTATAATCCCAGCACTTTGGGAGGCCGAGGCCGGTGGATCACTTGAGGTCGGGCAACCAGCCCTGCCAACATGGTGAAACCCCATTTCTACTAAAAATAACAACAATTAGCCAGGCATGGTGGCAGGCTCCTGTCATCCCAGCTACTCAGGAGGCTGAGGCAGGGGAATGACTTGAACTCAGGAAGCAGAGGTTGCAGTGAGCCGAGATTACGCCACTGCACTCCAGCCTGGGCGACAGAGGAAGACTCTGTCTCAAAAAACAAACAGACAAAGCAGATCCAATCTGCAGAAGTTTGCAGCTGTCTGACACCCACACATTTTCTAGGAAAGGCCTACAGGTACAGCACAGAGTCCCAGGCCCACACAGGAAGCGAGAAGCCCTCCCGACTTCCTCTGGCCCAGGACAGGCCGGCCTACCCCCGCACGTTCTCTGCCAGGCAGCCTGACACAGCAGTTAAGGCCCAGGCTTTGAAGTCAAACTGCCTGGGGTCAGACCCAGGCCTTGTGTTTACTGGCTGTGCGGCCTTACTCACTGCTGGAACCTCGATTTGCTCATCTATAAAACGGAACTAATAATAGCATCTTCACAAGCTATCAGGAGACTTAAAGGACGATGCACACGGAGCACTTTCATAAACACTCCCCGCATCCTGGCTGTCTGCCTCCCTCCTGCAGGCTCCAGGCTCACTTGCCACGGTCAAACGCAGGCACCTGGGCACCAGCGCTCGGCTCCTCCGTGGGGACCCCTGTGGGCAGGCAGACGCCAAGCTAGAGAACAGGGCAGAGGGGCTGAGCACTGAGAATCACACCTGTCATCCCAGCTCTTTGGGAGGCTGAGGCGGGCAGATCACCTGAAGTCAGGAGTTCGAGACCAGCCTGGCCAACATGGTGAAACCCCATCTCTACCAAAAATGCAAAAATTAGCCTGTGTGGTGGCAGACACCTGTAATCCCAGCTACTTGGGGAGGCTGAGGCAGGAGAATTGCTCGAATCTGGGAGGCAGAGGTTGCAGTGAGCCAAGATCATGCCACTGCACTCCAGCCTGGGCAACAGAGTGAGACTCCATCCAAAAAAAACACAAATTTTATTTACAAAAACAGGTGGCATGGCCAGGTGCGGTGGCTCACACCTGTAATCCCAGCACTTTGGAAGGCCAAGGTGGATGGGTCACTTGAGGTCAGGAGTTCAAGACCACCCTTGCCAATGTGGTGAAAACCTGTCTCTACCAAAAAAAAATACAAAAATTAGACTGGACGTGGTGCTGGGCACCTGTAATCTTAGCAACTCCGGAGGCTGAAGCAGGAGAATCGCTTGAACCTGGGAAGTGGAGGTTGCAGTGAGCCAAGATGGCACCACTGCACTCCAGCCTGGGTGACAGGGTTAGACTCTGTCTCAAAAAAAACAGAACAAAACAAAAAAAAGCAGGTGCAGGCCAGGCTGGGTCCACGAATCATACTTTGCTGACTGTGGAAGGTGTGTGCCTGAAGGGGTGCCCTCACCCCGGGGAACAACTGAAGAGCCACTAGAGGCTCCTAGCCATATGGAATAGTGCACACACACACATACATGCACACATGCACCTGTATGCATGCACACAGACACACACGCCCCCATGTGTGCACACACACACATACATGCACACATGTGCACCTCTATGCAGGCACACAGCCACACACAACCCACGTGTGCACGCACATACATACACGCACACATGTGCATCATGTGCACCTGTATGCATGCACACAGACACACACACTGCCATGTGTGCACACACACACATACACACACACATATGCACCTGTATGCATGCACACAACCACACA